CAATACAAAATGATCGACTTTTTTCTCTCTTTTGATCGAATAAGAATTGGTCAGTATATAACTCAACATTTCTCACGAAGGTCAACATATAAAACATTTGAAAAGACTTTTTAAGAATATTCACAGGAAAACTCGAGGAAAGAAAAATGTTTTCTTTAACTATTAATTTTAATGAATTTCTCCCTTTTCCACAACCATAGACTCACATTTGTACATCAGTAATTAGTAAGACTGTAAGAGTACAAGTTTAACATTTATAATCTTTTGGATAATGCGATTACAAATTATCGTGCTCTATAACTTGTGCCCCTCGCCACTCTTCACCCGGGTTGACCGTCACTGGAACCAACATTGAAGCAGGGCCTGTGCAGATAAAATAGTCCTTCCGATACTTGTCTGAGAGTGAACCTGGGCTAGACAAATATATTTCGTCAAAACCCATCCTTATTACCCTGAAGAAGAGCTCACGCCCCTGATCAATGACTTCATATTTGGAAGGTGCACTTGCGTGGAATGACTTTGATCTTTCTACTGGTGGGGCAGCATAGATTCTACTAAGCTTATGCTTCAAAACAGTAATTGGCACGTCTTGTACACTCCATATTCCTTGTTTCTTTTCTGGCTCCCAGCCGAAAGAGAACAAACCAGGATCCTCAGATTTCATAGCTTCAGATGAAGACATAATTTCAAAAGGTGAAGACAAAGGTGGGTGTGTGCAGTAAGAGCAGCCTCGCAATCCTTGGACTCCTGTCCCGCCTCTTTTTTTCGACTTGAAATGACTCAGTATAGCAGTGTTCAGGTCTATAGGCTTGCGCCCATTGTTTTTCACTATAACCGCTGTTGACATGCTTAACGGATATAGTGACACTACATAGATTATTTCAACAGTTTCGCTGCTGCAGCCCAATTCAACCTGCCACAATCTCGCTTGTTCAATCTCTATATATAATCTCAAAATTATAAAAGTGGAAGCCTTAATCACAACAGAAAAGTATATGGTCGGCTAAGAACTGACTTATATTTCACCGAAAGCATCTCAGAAAAACGAATAGTCTGAGCAAACAGGGAGCTATAGATCCAAATCCCGGGAAAAGCAACAAAAATGCAAAAAAGTTGTAATAAAACTTGTTCCACAGATTTGAGGAAATATCATCCATGTTGTAACTGTTACAACTGGAATTGATTTCCCAATGATAAACAATAGAAACTTCAGAAAATTGCCTGCTCACAACATAACAATAGGTATTAAAATAATTGAAAAGACACGAACTATTTTCAGGCACTAAAGAAACAGTAGAATGAAAAAGTACCTGGAGAGCATCAATGGAATCTGAATCAACATCCTTTACTGTCCATTCAGAAGTCTTGAGAGCAGAACCTTTAGAATTTTGTTCAGACAACTCATTGATGACCAAACCAATACCACCTTTAGCGTTGGTAGAACCCGCCCCCGTCCCCTTGGCAGGAAGAGTATAGAGAACCTCCTCAAACCCATTGTCTTTCCAGTAGACTTTAGGCTTGTAAGAAGTGACATGGCCATTGGGTATTTGAAGTTTCAGTGAGCTTCCATTTCTAACTGTCAGCTCAACAGTTGGAACATCAGCGGATTCAAAGAATGCAATACCTTTTCTTCCAAACTTCTCGTCTAGAGTCTCGGGAAAAGAGGCCGTGTCTGTTGCCGTGATGGATGAAGAAGCTCTAGTTACAAAAGCTTTAGGGAGAGAAAAGGATAGAAGAGAAGCCATGAAAAGATAAGGTCTAACTAGTGGAGTAAATCCATTGCTATTTGATCTCCCACTCCCCACACACTTCTTACTTGCGTCCAAACTACTGGCCAGTCTTTCCCAACTACTTTTAAGTTCTCCATATTGTCCGTATTACAATTTAGCCTTGTTTGGCCCACATTATAATGGGATTTTTGGAAATACTGTATTTTGGAATAGTAATTTTTGGGCGAACACGTGGTTAAAAAAAAGGAAATATTTTTTATTTACGCGTAATATTATTTTATTAGAAAATGTGTGGTTGAAGAAAAGAGAAAAAATGTATAAAAATTTTATTGGGGCTTAAAATATTAAACATTATGCAATTACTAGCTGGCTTTTAATTGTCATGCAAGTTTTTCCACAACGTCAACGTTAACATTTATAGTTGCATGTTGATTGTAGAAAGTGTACTGCGCCCAAAACTTGATCATAAGAAATCCCGCAAGTGTACGATATCACGAACAAGTAATATAATGATGAATAAAGTATTGTTCTTACTAGAACTGTGTACTTAATCTAGAATTAATTAATGTTAACTCTAACCAAATAGTCAAGTTTTGATTATCAATTCTATAATAATTTATCTAATCAAACTAACTATTCTAGCGAGCAATTTATGAAGTCTTTTGTAACAATTATATGGAATGATTTCAATGAATTCTTGATTTATTCGAGTTGCACCTTCTTTTCCTTTGCCCAAGAATCAAGGTCGGGTCGTCAATTGAATGAAATCTTGTAGTCGTCTTGTGATTTGCCCAAAAGAACAATAATTTGGCCTCTCTTTTATTTCAATAATGGGTGAAAAATATTATACGAGAGGTCTCTTCAATGGCTGTCCATGTTCTTGATTTATAGAATGTGAAATTAGGTCAATAATTGTTGGGGTTATTGTATGTGTTTTTGCAAGATATAATTGAAACTTAAGAAATCAATAAAGCAAAGTAAAACTTACTTGAAGAAGAATAAAAGTTGCAAAAAAATTCAATAATGAAATGAAGAATACAAAACCAGAGGCAAGTGTTAAACACTTTGTTTTTAAGAAGAATTTGCCCTGAACGATGCTAACGGAGTCTTGACAATCGTCTCTCAAGATACACCAAATTCTCCTTATAATAGAAGTACTTCAAACTCCAAGAAATCAACGAACGCAAAAATGGAACGAACTCTCTACAATTTGAATGATTTTGATGCATGAAAATAATAATTTGGTAGTGTTTTTATGTAAAATAATCAAAGAGAATGATATGGAATAAATTCAGAGCATCTAGATGGTCCAATTTATAGAAGATGAGAAGTTGTGGCCGGAGAATGAAGGGACGTAGCCCTTTATGTCGCTCGTTAGCCACCCGGTTGGTGCTCGAAAGCTCAAAGTAGGGACTCGATGCTCGCTGTACCCTGGGCAACCGCTCGAGCGACGGTCTAATATGCTGAAAATCTATTTTTTCTTCCTATCTTTGGACCACAATTTCTCATTCATCAGGAATTGATTTTAAGATTCTAAATATACTACAATCATCTACTCGACAAGTAAACACTTGGTCTATTCACTTGCGTGAATTGACTATCGAAATCTATCCGAATATTTGATCGGCGTTGATAAAAAATCAAATTTTGTTAATTTTTCTTAACCAAATTCCAACAATCCTCCATATGAATGGAAATTGCCATATATGCAAATGATAATGCAACCACTAATAGAGAAAAGAGTGAAAAGACATAGCATCAAGAGAGGTGGCTTTCTGCCTTAGTGAAATACTATTGAATTTACCTGACTAATTAGTGAACATAATGTCTTGAACTATTTAACTTTTGTTGTAAACCAAGATAACATTACTTACACATCTTTCCTAAACCATTTTGGTTCTCAAGATTTTGTTCATTTTGGCCCTAAACTACTCTTGGATTTCATAAGTGCCTTTCAGCTTCAAAATTCTCATAGAAGAGACCCATCTTCACACTTACATAGGTGACCTCCTATTGAGAATATTATGTCCTACTCCAATTGATTTAATCAAGTTATAAGAATTATTAAATGCTAAACTTAACATTTTTAACATTTTGCAGGAAGCATTTTGATTATCGTAGGAATTAGAAGGAATTATTTCTTAAGTGTTACATGGAATTTTCATAACTTAATTGTCACATTAAACCAAGATCTTAGGTTTTTCAGTCAACAAAGTTGGGTTACCATTACAAAGACTCTTACATAGTAGGCTTTAATCACATTCCCTTTGATAGGCAATTTATATGATCTCTTGGTAAGCATTTCGTAAGCGAATCCGCGATGTTTTCCTTTTATTTCGCATAATCAATGGAAATTATATCATTTGAGCTCAATTGCTTAATGGTATTGTGTTTACGATGTATGTGTCTAGATCTACCAGTATAGATACTGTTTTGTGCCCTTTCAATCGCTGATTAACTATCACAATGTATACCTATAACGGTACCAGCTTAGGCCAACATATAATGTCCTCCAAAAAGTTAAGAAGCCATTCCGCTTCTTTATCAGCTTTGTTTAAAGCTATAAACTCTGATTTCATCGTTGATCGAGTTATACAAATTTGTTTTGTGGACTTCCAAGACATATCAATGCCACCAATGGTAAAAACATAACCACTAGTAGACTTGGAATCATTTGTATCAGACATTCAATTCGCATCACAATATCCTTCCAAAGCAGCACGATATTTTGTTGAGTGTAATCTAAAGTTTAAGGTATATCTTACATTTATAAGAACCCTATTCAACGCCGTACAATGATCGTTGCTTGAATTACTCGTGAATCTGCTAAGTTTATTCATTGCATATGCTATAGCTGATAGAGTGCAATTCGTAATGTGCATTAGATTACTTATAACTTGTGAATACTTTAGTTAAGATACTGACTCACCCTTATTTTTGACTAAGTGTAGACTTAAATCAATAGAGGTTTTAAGAGGACTTTCCTCATATAAATTAAACATTTTAAGTACACTCTTAACCTAATGAGGTTGGGAAAGTAAAAAGATGTCCTAGAGATCTTAATCCCTAATATTACATATATCATACCTATATTCTGCATGTCGAAATGTTTCGTTAACATTTTCTTTGTGTTCATGATGATATCATGAATTACATAGGACTTAGGTATATGTTTTATGTATACTCATTTATCACACTTGTTAATTTTAAAACCATTTGACAACAAAGTTTTGTTAAATTTTTTGTGACATTGCTTTGGAACTTGCTTAAACCCATATAAGGACTTAACGAGTTTGAAAACTTTTCGTTCTTGGTTAGGAGCAATAAACCCTTCATATTGCTCCGTGTATATTTCTTCTTCTAACTCACCGTTCAAAAATGTCGTTTTCACTTACATTTGATGAATCTCTAGGTTATGCAATTTAGCAATTGCAATCAACACTCTTATCGAAGTGATTCTAATAACATACAAGTAAGTATCAAAGAAATAAGTCATTTTTTGCCTAAAACCTTTAGCAACCAACCTAGCCTTGTATTTGTCAATGGATCCATCCGGTTTCAATTTCTTCTTAAAAATTCATTTATACCCTAGAGGCTTATTTTTAGGTGGTAGATCAACAAATTCCTAAGTATGGTTTAGCATTATAGATTCTATCTCACTATTGATAACCTCTTTCCAATGCGGTGCTTTCGGAGTAGAAATTACTTCACTAAATGTCTTAGGATTATTTTCTACCATATAGGTTAGAAAATTAGAACCATATGATGTTAATGTTCTAGCCTTTTTAACTACGCCTTGGTTTTTCATCATTTATAAGAGTACCATTTACAATTTCATATGTTCGCTTATTTGAACTTACATCTTCATTTTCTTTGTATGAAAAGACATTTTCGAAAAAATGAAGCTTTTCTCGATTCAATTATGGTACCTTCACCCCAACACTTTCAGATGTTTATAAGAAGGTTGATGATCTTTATATAATTCATCTGGAGTTTCATCTATTTTCTTTTGATGTGTCTTGTTACGAATGTTATTTGCTAAAAGTATAGCTTCACCCACATGTTCCAAGTTTAACACGGACTTATCAATATTGCATTCATTATCTCCTTAAAAGTTCAATTTTTGTACTCAGCAATACCATTTGATTGAGATGAGTAAGGTGTCGTTATTGATGAATAATGCCATGTTTTTAATAGAATTCTTCAAACGGTGCCCCGTATTCTCTTTCTCCATCACTTCGAATATTCTTTGTTTGTTTACTAAATTAATTCTCAACTTTCGTCTTATAATGTTTGAAAACATCTAAGGCTTTATCTGTAGAAGCCCCCAAAAAAAATGAAATTAGGTCCTTTTTTTTTGTGATGATCTAGCACCACGAGCCTAGTCCATAGACGAACCTTATGCTCAACCCACATAAAAAATGAAAGCCCAATACTAGTTCAACATGTCTTGAATAATCTCATGAAAGCTCACAAGAAATCATGCATATTTTCTATAAAATATAAAGATTTCTTTTTCATAATGTAAGATGCAATTTATTGTTTTCCCAAAGATTGGATCCGATGGTGAAAATTTATTCTATGTATATTAAATATTTTTAAGATTTGATTTGTGTACACGTTATTTTTTCAAAAGGACCGAACCATAAGTAAATAGAGTTTATTAAGTTCTAATTGAGGTTATGTTGTTTTCCTTATTTTGTTAAGTTAATAAAGTTTAGGGACCAAAAGAAAAAAAAAATGAATGACAAGTACATATATACACGCACACATGCAGGAATACATATACATGGAATTAAACATTTATATTAATTGGAATGAAACCTCAATTTATAGTCACACACGTTTCATAACTTTGGTTGGATAGTCGGGGCAATTAATCTCATAGATTGTTTGGATATATAGTATTATATGGACACACTAAACAGCACAATAATGCAAGGAAATGTAACCTAAATCTTACTTTTAAATTCATTTAAATGGGTATATACGTTGCCACCGTTTTTGTTGAAACA